AACGGCAGAAATAAGAAATTGTGAATCAGAATGGGTCGAAACGTTTTGCAGTTGTTTACTGATGACTCAAACTTGTTCTGCGTCAGCACTTTGCCTTCTCAGACAGCAGGAAAGTGGTTTGTGGATTATTGAATGTAATTCATGTCTATATTTGGGTTTGATAAAGGTACACCCTAGTGGATGAGGTTCACCTCTACATCTACAGTAGTTATATATAAAAAAAAATCTTTAATTTGTAATGGAGTGAAAAATTGATGTGCTTCATCTGCCTCCACAGACAAATGTGCTGCCTTCTCTTGCTTCATAAAAATCCTCCTCCTAACTATGAGAAGGTGTGTATTTGGGGCTTTGTAGCTGAGTGTACGCCCTTTCTATTAATAAGAAGGCACAACACAACCTCAGAGGCTCATTTAGAGATCTTTGAATGTTGTTGATAAAGACTAAAACAGTCGACTGCTTCATTTTATTTGGTTCCTGCCACTCGTTACCTTCAGTTTAAATATGATTGTGCTACTTTGAGTAACTTGGATCTCTAATACGTTTTCCCCTCCCAAGGCACTAAGCGAATTTTCAAGCACTCTGAGGAATGGTGGTCACTAGGGTACAAAATCCCTCTGAGGGAATTTATGGCAGATGAGCCGAAACAAAAAAACGCAAACAGTGCTCATGTATGTGAGACTAAAGTTTGTCCATGTGGATTTAATTGTTTTGGAGCAAGATGATTATGTTTAGTTTGTTAAAGTAAGAAGGCCCTAGGCGTCTATGCAGCACCTTGAGGGAAAAAGTAGTGCATAACTGTGAAATTGTTGCTTTTAAAATTTGAAAAGTGTAGCACGCATCTGTGTATGCGCCCGCTTTTATTCTTATGTCTCTAAATAAAACCCAACTGCCTTCAGGAGTCTAAACGGAGAGAAGTGTGTAATTTTGTTCCAGAGTAAATCCGGTCGTTGTGTAAATGCCTCAGAGGTTTGTTGGGGAACAAATGGCTTAATGAAGATCAAGGAACACGGTCGCTCCGTGAAGCCTGATGCAATCGAGATGAAACGAGGTAACTCTGGAGGAGCTGCAGAGATCCACAGCTGATGTGATTTTTTTTTTTTTATTATTATTACTATGTAAAGCACTTTGAATTGCGCTATACAAATGAAATTTGATTGATTGATTGATCTATTCAAAGGTCTGGTCACAATGGAAAAGTGCAAAGATGAAATCGATTGTTTTTAAAGAAAGCCAAAGGAAATCAGAGTTTTGTTTGTCATGCAGGAGGCATGGCAGCTATGAAGGAGAAGGTGATTGGTTCAGATAAAACCAAAAACTGACATGAAAAACGCTTTCTATAGAACAAATTAACACCGTTACCTGGACCAGGGGAGTATCATGCTGTGGGGATGATTTTCTTCAGTAAGGACGTTGGTTTGATTAATTTGAAGCCAAAGTCAGCCTTTTGAAAACTATAAAAAAAAATAAACATCTCAAGCTTTCTTCTTGCACTCATTTATTTTTCTTTATGTAAACATAAAACTGGAGGTAACAAAACAACGCTGCGTATATTAAAGAGACGAACGGCTAGGAAAGTGCAAAACTCCTCAAGTGGTTTTATAATCAGAATGGTTCTCATCGCTCCAACACTGCGAGGCTGAGCCGAGGGAAAAATAGCCAATTAAAATGTGAGGACCTGAAGGTGCAGAGGGTAGTGTGGCATTTCAACAATCCATGCACAGATTAGAGGTATTTCACATCCCAGTGGGAAGCTTTCTGCTGGAAAATCGGGAGATAAGACCCCAACACCGAGTGAGGAGGAGGAGGAAGAACTTTGGATTGATGGCAGGTGTAAAAACGAAACAATAAAAAAAAAAAGCATTGTGCAAGTAATATGAGCACAAATACTTTACTAGCTCCTGTTTTACGAATTTGTAAGATTGCTAATCCCTTCTACACTGATATTGGTAGTAGCAGGATGTCAATGGATCAATGAAACTGAACCCAGATCTCCCAACCCTCTCTCGATCTTTCAGAGTGATGTCCTTTATTGAGAAGAGTGTGGCCAGACTGGATCAGCCGGAGAGACTGGAAGCTCTGGCTGTGGAGCTGGGAAAAAGCCATTATCACTACAACGCCCCACCTAAATACTACAACGTAAGACCCTCTGACAATCGCAGCAACCAAAAGAAGTGACAAGAAAAAAGAAAAAAAAAATTATCACCCGCAGACGAATCAGTCTAACATGGATGGTGTTTTTCAGTATGTGGGCGCAGAGTTTATCTGTGCTGTGCAGCCTATCCTAAAGGAGAGGTGGACCGCCGAGTTGGAGGAGGCTTGGAAGGTAAATCGAAGAAATGTATCGAACAAATCACAAACAATTAGGTCTTGGAATTTCAAAATAACTGAGTCTAAATAATTAAATTAATGGTATAGACTTTAGACTTTACTTTTTGTAGTTTTTGTGTTATTGTCTGCCTAACAAGTGGTTTGATTACGTTGCTTTTTTTCTTATTTCTTCTCTCTGATGTTGAAAATCCCTTGAAAATATCATACATAGTTGCTTACAACCGATTAAAGCTTCTTATTTTTTGCTGTGAATCTGAAAAATTTATGGAACCACAAAAGGTTGAAACTCGGAATCTCATAGATATTTTACAAAATTCAAACATTTTAAATCACATTTACTCTCAAAACTAGATTAGTTTTAATAATCAGTGCTCCATCAAAAAAGGTAGGTTAATTAAAAATATAACTTTTTCTAGCTAAAATATGTTTATAATAATGGGTTATAAATAACTTATTTGCTTAATTACTTCAGAATTAAATCTAATCTAATACTTTAGCAGTACTGATGGCACGCTTCATGTACTTTTGAACTGCCAGACCATTGGCTCCAGCACAGGATTTTTCATTACTTTCACATACAAAGTAATTATTTTCAAGTAGGTTTTCATTATTAGGACTCCAGGGATCTTTTTTTTTTTTTCATATATCGGTAGTGCAAATGGGCTTTCATGCACATTAAAGAGGTTACTCACTGGAGAGAAGAAAAAAGGAGTGTGTCGATTCAGCAAGGGTCAAATAGGCTAATCTACAGGAGAGTAAATCATTAAAAGCTTGAGATGAACTTTCTGATGCATTTTAATCTAAATTTGAATTACAGTATATATATATTTTTTTTTTATTATTTTGTGTGTCTCTTCGAGAAACAGAATCTAGGTGATGATGCAAAAAAAAAAGAGCAGCTGATTCTGACTCGTCACTTTCAGCCACAACACTGCTGCTGTGGACAAATCTCCCCAATGCAGCGTGCAGCATGTCAAATTAAAGATTAAGACTACTACAAAAATCTGCACCTGATGGAACTTATCACGGCAGAAATAATAGAGCATGGTTTTGCAGCCTCGTGTTGTGCTGCTGCAAGATTTGGATAATCTCAAAAATAACTCCCCAGCAGGTGAATCCATTTTAGGATTACCTTTGTTCCTAAGCAGATTTCTGGGAAAAGATCAAAGGCTAAATTTTTATATATGCAGAGTTCTTTATCAAACAGCATCTACGGCCCTTTGTGAGCTTTTAATCTATTGTCACGACTACCTATGAATATATTTAAACTGTGTGCAGTTAACCTGTGGAGAAAAATAAATACATCTTTAAATCCATGCCACCAGACCTTAAAAAGCCAGCAAAGTTCAGAGATTTTTTTTCTAATACTAATGACTATGGCTTAGAGGAAAGTCAAACCCAGAATTCAGTCTCTGAATATTAGAATAAACTAGTTTAAAATGTTATTTCTTTGTAAAGTGTCTTTGAAGTTCCTGAAAAGTGCTACACAATGTGATTTCATAAAAAAAAAGAAGCTTTTTAATACAGAAATATTGTGTTATGTCCCATATGATCCTTGGGAGGACTGCTGTTGCCTAGCAGACATTCACAGACACCTTCCACAAGGAAGGGAAGAGACAAAACAAATTAAAGAAATTAAGTTAATAGAAAAGTTTAGTGGAAGGACAAAAGGTGCACAAGCAGTAAGGATAAATTAGCATGCATTGGTGTAAATTATCAGAGTTCCAGGATATGAGAAAAAGTTATTTTTTTTCTTTTTTTTTTTTTTTTTAAAAAGGGGGGGGTTTTTTATTTTAAAGATGTTTAAACTCATCTGAGAGGCTTCTTCGGTACTGAAGCCTGGATTGGAAGTATGAGACCTACAAGTTATCATTAATGAGACTATCATCTCTTCGATTTCCTGTTGATGTTAATACTGACAATACCAACTTGTGAATTGTTTTGGTAATGTTTTGAAATTCATTGTTCATTGTTGACTGTAGGTGATAGAGCAGCAGTCTGATTGTTTCTGATTACAACTTATAAGGCTGATATTTCCAACCCGGATATCAGAACTAAAGAAGCTTTTTGTATGAGAGATGATTTGCTGAAATCATTAGTTTACCTACAAATTTTTTTTTTTTTTTTTTTTTTATAATTTTCCAATTTAAGACCCTTTTTCATGACATGTTTAAAATGGGTTTTCCATTTTCAGACGATGTTCCAGTATGTATCGAGCCTGATGAGGCAGGGATATCAGGACGAGAGCGCCCGGCAGCGCAACCTGGCAGCGTCCCCAAAGGACAGACTGGACAAGAAGAACACAGCTCTATGAAATGATCCGTCTCTAAACAATACAGACTGATTTTACCAACATAGCACAGAAATGTCTATATGTATACACTGTTTTTAACTCTTTTTTTCTACACTGTCCATGTCCAGTCATTATCTGTCATTTTAACAGAAAGAACTCAATTCATTCACATTTTTAACCAAACAAAAAAAACTTTATTTATGAACTTAAATTCTGATGCCAGGGACAATACAAACCCTTTTTGATTGGTACAGCATAGTCTGGCCATGTAAATAGAAAGGGGAGCGTTTTACTAAAAATGAAACCTAAACATAAATTACGCTGAGCAATCACAAATTGATTCAACTATTTCTGGATGACTTTCAAATCCTCAAAAAGATTTTTTTTTTTTTCTAAATTAAAAAGCCAACCCTGCACAACATAAATAAGGATCAACAAGCAAAAATCAAAACCTGCCAAGAATTGGACTCTGTGGGGTTGGCCCCAGGGGAAGCAGGATTCAATAAAATGGTGACATGCTCCATGTTGTACAAGAAAATGAAAATCCTCAGGTCTTGTTCTTAATCACCAGATGACACTGAAAAGCCAGGCGATAAAGCATCACCATGTAAACAATGGCATCTTGTGTACATAGTCACCAGGATTCTGATTCTGAGGTTTGAGGTGAGCAGGAGGAGAGCTGAGTGGAGTTGGAGATCACATCATCACAAGGAGCTCCCCCTTACCGTCCCCTCAACCTGTAATGGACAGCTCAGCTAGCCACCGTTTCCATTAAAAGTCCATCGCTCATTGTGTGGCTTTGGTTTTCTTGCTCTTGCTTTTCTTATCTTTCTTCTTAAGACCGTCTATGTGAGCTCTTAGAAGATTGGAGTATGCCTGGAAAGGACGATACAGATGCAGATGGATGAATAATTAAAGATGTGAAAACAAAGGACTGGGTCTGTATTCAAAAAACACAAGATGAGCTCAACCTACCATCTGAAACTTGATTACTTCTTTGGTGCTGACCTAAAATTAGAGGAATATATGGTTCACCGATAGATCATACAGCAAAAATATAAAGAAAACTCGACTGAAAAACTGAGTTCAAAAAAGGAGCTCACCACTGTGCTAATTTTCTTCTTGCCATCAGATGCTCTGATGAGACACTTGTTATCAGCAGGTTCAAATGACTCCGGATGCCCTTTTTTGGGAACTGGTTTAGTTCTACCATCATCTAAAAGAATAATTTTTAAAAAAAATAATCCGGTTCTTAGAGGTTAAATGATGCAAATTAAACATGTATGTTTGTGATTTAGGTCAAACAGAATAACTTACACTTCTTTAGTGTGATGGCAACACTTCCTGATGTTCGACACTTCTGGAAGAGCCGAGTGAGCTCTGTGAGAAACTAATGAGAAAACAGTTTTGAGGTTTTTTTTTCTTCCCTTTAATCCGTACACTTTACAAAGTCAGGTGAGAAGAATATCGGTCATTTTGTCATTTTCGGTCAAGTTTGGCGATTGCGAAACCGACTTTCAGGTTTGAGAAGGAGTCGTCATCCATGGTGTGTGTGTGTGTGTTTTTTTTAAAAGGTGATTTTCTATAGTCTGTTCAAAATATACTGTCAGGAGATGCAGTTAAGAAACTCCAATAAATATTATCTACAGACACGGGTGTGGTTCATGCAGAATTATTTTGACTGGAACATGACACCATGAATCAACAGGTCTAGCCAAATCAATGACAATATGGTGCAATATAGGGTTATGAATTTAAAAATATTTTTTTCTGTTATATTTGAGATCTGAGTATTTCATGATGATTTATCTCCTGATTCCTGTAACATACTGGATATTCATTTTGGGTCGATTTTTACCTATCAATTATACCTTAGATACTGGACAAAAGCAGAAACCAGTTTATTTTACAGAAAGACACGAAGCTGAAGTTGCCCTCTGATAATGGCTTCCGATTGGGGAAATGGCTAAAAGGAGAAGCCACTTATTTTTCATCTTTGACATGTTCTAGTTTAAACGCTACAGTATTTAAACTCTTCAAACCTGGACTAGATGTTTTAGACTAATCGTATATATAAAACCAAGTTTGTAGTTTGTTAAGCCATTTGTTTTGTAGAAATTTAATAAAGGACAGTATTAGTCGGTCTTTTTAGCGTCTGAACCACATTAGAACTGCTCTAGCTAAAGAAAAAACTATATTACGAACTGAATTTTTTACAATAAGAAAGAAAGGCCTCAGAAAAGTCTGATAACTATTTTTATCCAAGGACTGACTGTATTTATATCATTCAGGTAATTTGCTAGCGTAAAACAGGTTGCAATGCTGACAAATGATACATCGAGACATGATATAAACTCACTTCATTTTCATTCGAACAATCTTAATAGAGAAAGTAAAAATATATTTTTAATTGGGAAAAAATACGTCAGGGCATTTCTTGAGACATACGTGGAGACATCGAATATACTACACGTCTGAGTTATATTACACATAAATTCAGGAATACAGCTTAAACATTACTGTTAGGCCACATCGAGAGTATTAAAAGCTTTTACAATGCAAACATGTGACGATATTTAAAGTCTCAACCAGTTCACTCAATCGTTAGCAGGCTGGCTAACATCACTAGCTCGAAATCTTGAGCCAACAAACGGCTAAAGAAGAGAGTATTTATGTACAGCAGTGAATTCATACGAACAGAGAAATACATTTCAGATAGTCTGTTTTATATTCTTACCGAATCATTCTCGAGTAACACCATAATTTCGACTTCTTCTGTGCTGTAGAGCTAACTCTCTCACTGTGAAGAGGCACACGTACTACAAGCTGAAGCTCCGCCCTGCGCCATTTCTTCAATGTCCCAGTACATCACAACACTGCCACCTACTGTCATGGATGACCAAATGCCTCTACGTTAGTTTACACACATTTTCATTTAGTTAAAAATACGACCATATTTTACCTCCAAAAAATATGGAGGTACTTGCATTAACCTACAGATTTAAAATGATAAAGGTTCAGTTGAAAAGATATAAAAATAATATCAAATATTTGTCAACAAATGAATAAAAAGATTTTTTTAAGTTATATAAATAAGAACACAAAAGGTATTTTTATTGTTAAACTTAGTTTGTTTTAGTATTAAGACCTAAAAATGGAATTCCTGTTGCTATCGTAGGGATGCTGACACTTGGTTGCTGAATTTTTAGCTTTTTTTATTTATTCATTTATTTTTTTGATCGCCTGCCTGCACCCAAGATTCATCAATTTTGGGTGTTAAGTCCTTTAGGACTCTGGAAATGTCCATGACCAGAATGTATGTGAAGAAAAAGCAACAAGAATTTGAGATCACTTGTATTTTGTATTAACCTTTTCTTTTAAACATAAAGTAACAGATTTGAAGTTTTGAAATTTATATTCTTTGTATAGCATCCCTCTTTGGTGCTCACAGAAAGCCCAGTAGCGTCTATAAGCAACTTAGTTTGCTTTTGATTTGTGCAAGAACCAAAATCAAAGACTATTTATTGTTCCTGTAAATCTGTGGTTCCATATTTATCATTCAGGAGTTCTTCCTAATGCACGTTCAGTGAATCCTTTTCTTTTTTTAAAAGATTGATTCTGACAAAACATTGCAGCAGTTTCTACCGTCTTTGTCACAAGCAGCAATCTTTGAAAAAAATATTTTATTCCCCAGACTTGTATCGGTCTTTTCTGGTATTTTCTTGAAGATTTTCATTATGCACACCTCCTAGAGGTATCTCTCTAGTATCTATCCTTACAAAAGATGCTGTCCGGGAATTGTTTCTATGTTGAGGAAGTCAATAAATCATACAGCAATACTGAGAAAAATATTTAAAAAGATTTTACAGTAGATACAGCTGAGTCAGTGTTGAATACAATACATGTTTGTGTTCTGCAGGAATAGCTATTTTTCACAATGTGCATATTTTCAATCTTTATACTATTGTGTTGTGTTTCTCTATAATTTCTCTGTAAAGGTAATTATAAAAAATGACACAAAATCGTATGTTACGCTAAGCAAAAGCTACAAAGACGTCATTCTCATAGCTGTAGCTGCGTCTATGAAGTTGTCTTCTCAAATTCAGGTTTAAATTCTGGCATTAACGTTTCATTTTTTGCAAATGTTAACAGCAGTCACACAGTAATAAGATATAAAGGCTATGATAAAGCTCCATCTATGCTTATTACACAAACAGCTAACTAATAACTTATACTCTAGCAGCTGAACTAGACTGAATGTGATATATTATTTCCATACATTGAGAAGCAAAGAAGCAATGCAGGTAAACGTACATAGAAATGACATTTACCTGCATTTCTGCATTAGAATCTTTAACTAAAGCATAGTTAAATATCAGCATAAAATAATGCTGATATTTTATATAATATCAGCATTATATAAAATGCTGATACTGAAAATGAAACAATGCAAAGCAACAGTTATGGTGGAAATGTTGCAATAAAAGCAAAATAAATTATTTGTAGTCGTTTGATAAAAACGTCAGTCATCTTGGTGACAGAGCACAGTCTGGGTTGTGGCCCAGATCTCTCAGGTGGACAGCGAATTCTGAGTGCCAGTCTCTGTTGAATACGTCCTTCAGCTGGTGGTACAGGGTCTTATTGTTCAATGCAGAGTGAGGAGTGTTCTGGGAAATGACCAGACTCACTCCAGCTGTGGTCAGAAAGTAGTCAGCCGCCCAGTTGGACGTACCTGTGTTGGAAAAGAGTGTTATTCGGTCAATTATTAACACAGTTTTTATTTAAAAAGCCCCCACTTCTTATTTTTAAACTCCTCAGTTGACATTAATATTGACTCACCTACGTATGCAACTTTATCAGTCACCATGTATTTATTATGATTGACTCTGGTGTATGGAATATCAGACTGATTTCCCACTGGGACGATGTAAAGTTTCTGAAACAACCAAAACAACAATAAGAACAGATGGCTTTTAGGAGAACTTTCCAGCATTGTGAAGAAGTATGTGCTCCCTAGAAAATACAAAATGCTATTTTAAACAATGATTTTATTTATTCAGGTAAAATAAATCCACCCAAACAAAAAAAAAAAAAAAAAAAAGTGTGAAAAAGTAATTGACCCCTAAACCTAACAACTGGCATTGCCAAAATAAATTTTTGTCTCCCTCTCTCTTTACTTTAATTCAGCCACATTGGAGGACTTTTCAGTATGAACAACATGTTCAAGGCCATGCTGCAGCATGTTAATGTTATTAAAATCTTTAAAATCTTAGGTCTTTCCAAAACCATCATATTTTAGGCCATAACATGTGGACTTTCTTTAACCTAAGGTCAAGATTCTCCTTAAGTAACCCCAAACAATCACACTACCACCACCATGTTGGCATGGTGTCCTGTGTTTGAAATGTCATTAGTTTTACACCAAATGTATTAGAAATCAGCTTCAAAAAAAAGTTCCACTTCTGTCTTTGTCTGTTGGAAATTGTGTTGTTTTTGGTCAGCTTTAGTTTTGGCTGTGAAATTCTCGCAAGGATGCACAGTTGTGTTAAAATATCTTTGATTATTTAAAGTGTAAGGGGGGGAAGCAACAACTGAAGAAATTTACAAAGGGAAAGTGCAATTTTACAGCACAATCACACATGCATAAAACAGACACATTCTTTCCATGTGGTCTCACTATTTGGATGCTGATGTGATGGAGAGGGTAATCCATTGAAGCCAAAGACAGAAGGAAGGGCAACATGGCTGGATCAGAATCACGTCCACAGCTGATCAACATCCTGACCTTCACTTTCCTTTCAAACACAGCCATCTTAATGGCATCATCAATAAACGGCCAGTATCTGGAAGGACACCAGAGTGAGGAACTCAAACAAAACCAGAACATTTTGAATGTTAAAACAAGACTTTGGGCTTACTTGTGAGGCTTTTCAAAACGAGTGGTGGGGAAATACTCCATGACAGCAACATCTACAAATCTGTCAGCCTGTGAGATGGAGGACAGTATCGCCTCCAGGTCCTGAGTCCTCGATGGAGGACAAAAGGATGGAGGAGAACCCTGGGATAGTACACAAAATCAAAAATAACACCAGAATCACCCGACCCTCTCTTTGGGGTGAAAAAATTAAAAGAAGAAATGAAACAAAGGCCACTCACAGCAATGTAAAGACTGCTGGAGATGTTATCCTCTTTTACCAGCAGAGGGTGCTGTTTGTTGATGTTAGTGGAATAATTTGCAGGCCAGGGTTGTGGCAGGGAGCTGTTGGGTTGCCCCATTACCCAATAGGACTGGAAGATCTTATAAAGGTCCATTGCAAGACTGGAACAATTATAGACCGCCACTCCCAGTTCCTTTACCTGCAGTCAAAGTGGGCAATTTATTTTGAAAGCAATTTAAATAGGAAGAATGTGAACTTAAGAATTATTGCCATGTGTAGTTTTACCTGGGTCAGAGCCCTCCAGTCCATGTTGGCACTTCCAATGAACACATGCTTCATGTCAACAATCCAGAACTTGGAGTGGAGGACGCCTGCCGTCAGGCGACCAAACTCTACTCTTCTCACCTGAACTCCTGCAGACAAAAGTCATCAAAACAGTTTGCCAGAAATATAATCGGCAATTCCTGGGAGAATTTAAAAGAAAAGAGTAACTATCAAACCTTTCTGTTTTAGGATCTTTAGATCTGTGGAGTTTGTTTTGACTGTGGGGACACTGCTCACCACGCGGACAGATATGTTCCTGGAGGGAAGTTCCCCAAGCGCTTGCAGGATGTCCCTTCCCTGTTTTCCACAAAACATTCAACATTCAAAGACTCAGACATTTTTGACAAATGTGAGCGATTTCCGAGTTAGGAACTCACAGCGATATCAGTGGAGGAGTTGACGTTGATGTCCTCCCCTGTTAACGTCCAGTAGAATGAGACTACATTCACGCTGTGTGATGCTCGAGAGATGAGGTCTTTCCAGGCTTGCTCCAGGGGGATCCCAAAAGTTGCATTGTTATCATATTTTAGATATAGAGGAATACTTTCCACAAGGGTCATGCTGCAGGGGAAAGCAGGCTATATATTAATAAAAATAATTATAATCCCATATAAAATATTTGTAACAGTTGAGCTTTTTCTTTGTGATAGACACAAAGCACTGCATAACTGGAAAATGAAAAAAAAAGTGTCTGAATGATGTGGTCATATTTGTTTTAAGACACTCTTAGGCTCACTAAAAGTCCTTCTCACTCCTCATAAAATTTTGTCATGTTGGGAGCTTTCTTGAGGCCTAAGGTGCTTTGCAAATAACTTTTAGGTTATCGCAGTAAAAGAAAATTCTTCTTCATTGCGAAGAAGAATTTTCAACAATGGCAAGAAGAGATCCATTGTTGAAAACTCACACTGCATATCACCATGAACGCACCATCCAATCGGTACAGCGTGGTGCTGGTAGGGTCATGTGAGAAAGTTGCAGAGATCAACAGCCCAGGTGGGAAAATCTTCTGGCAGGAAAATCTTTATCAGTCCACCAATCCACTGTCTACACTCGTGTAGGATAGGCAATAAGAAAACCCAAGAGTGGTCTCATTTAAAGTTTTAAATGAACATGCTGAAGGTCCTCTGACCAGATGAAGTCAAAATTAAACTTTTGACTTACAGGCTAAACACTACACATCATTGAAAACACAATTCCCACAGGGAATCCTGGCAGTGGATTCCCTGTGGAATCCAGTGCCAGGATTCCACAGAGAATCCTGTGGAATCCCTGGCACCTGGGAAGCTGGTTAGAGTCCTTCAACATTAGCTACCTGGGATTGGTTTGAATCAAAACACATTCATTTGTCAGAATGACCCAGCCAAATTGATCAACGTGGAAAGAAGAATGGCACGCCTTTTTTTTTTTTAGTATTTAGAAGAATTGACTCAGGAGGGCTTAAACCTACGCCAAACTTTTCAGACTTGAAATTGTCAAAATTTGAAAATCACTTTTCTTCCATTTCACAATTATGCTCCACTTTTTGTTCCACATAAAGTGGAATACATTCATAAAACCCTGTTCAAATAGTTTTGCAAGAAACAGGATTATTACCTGCACTGGTCAGTGAGGTTGAGCCCAGCACTGTCCTCAGGAAGAGTGTCATGGTTTTTAGGAGGTGTTGGTCTCTCCAACACAGCGATGGCAAGAATAACACCGAGCACAGTCAGACAGCCCAAAATCACAGCCAATGTCACACAGCTGGTCCTCCTCTGACAAAGATTAGCAGAAAGATTTTTTAGTAAAGAAAACAATGATCTCTCAGAGAAAAAATACATCTTGCGAGACAACTTACCCCTTTGTTTGAAACATAATTGTCATGAAGGCTTCTGTACATCGAGGTCATCTTTCCTTCGAGTCACTGGGTTTTTAAAAAAAAAAAAAAAAAAAAAACGTACTGGGTTTTTCTAGCTTTAAACAAAGTGTTTAACCTAATACAAGTTTTGTCTACGGTAATGCTAAAGAACAAACTCACTGGTTAACAGACCCAGCTTGTTTTTCACTTCTTTCTTCCCCTTCAGCTTGCAGCCACAGCTGAACTACATATCTCTGCTGTTTAATATAACTGAGCACACTTCCTGTTTTTACTTTCATTTCAGCTTTTCATACAGTTTGTGTGGCTCAGGAAATGAATAAATACACAAAGGGAAAAGAATACCCGACAGGTTTGCTGATTAAATTTATTTGAAATTACAAAAAAAAAAAATAAATAAAAAATCATTGAATAACTTATACAAACAATAACACATCAAAAAGTACCAGTAAATTACAACCAAACCATTTAGGATGGGGAAAAGAAACTCAATTTGACACAAGATTCATTTTCTCTGAAACTCTTGAGGGCAGGGGCACGAAAACAAGACATGGACTCTTCTCCATAAAGAAGAAGCAGCAGCAGATTTAGAAACAAAAACCCAACAGTAAATGCTTTCTTTGTTTGAATTTGTAAACAACTCTTCTACTGGCTGCATGAAACATGAGCCCACACAGCTGTACAGCAAGTTAGTTTCTTCCCAGTTACAGTCACCGACACATAGTGCATTGAGGAAAATAAAAGTTTTCCTTAAAATGTATAAAATAATAAATGGGAGGGAAAACATTCTACATTGGTGCAAAAATGGCAAGAGTGAGAGGTAATTTGTGGGACGTACAGATATGTTCAGACATCTAAACACTCAGCTTAATCATGGCTTACAGTTATGTAGTAATTTGTCAACTTGGATGCTAAAATTGCTCAATGGTGAACTATACAGACAGGGGTGGGATAATTATCCTCATCGCAGTCAGACATAAAATTTGATTTAGACAAACAAGAAATTACTTTTTTTTGATAATAATCTTTGGCCAAATCTATTTTTGAGAGAAAAAAAAATCATAAGTTTCAATGCCGCCTTTTTTTTCTTAAAGCAGGAATGTTAAAAAAAAACAACAAAAAAACAGGCTGCTTCTGTAATCACCACTTGCTTTGTTCAGCGAGGTGGTTTAACTGTAGTGGAGTTAGCTCCTCCTCCCATTCAGATTGCACATTCCTGATGGATTTCCAGCCTCGGTTGCAAGAAATAGCTTTAAGCTCCCAAATAAAGAGAAGATGACCAATGACAAAAAACACACCTAGTTGTGTTTAAGCAGCTGTGTAAAACAACATTCAACAGTCTGGCACAGGAGTGCTGCAAAGTCTCTCCAAAATGCCTGCAGTGTCATTCAAATAGCACAATTTATAAATAGCTTTTATAATCCTAAACAAATGTAGTCTAAGAAAAGGAATGTGGCACAAAAACAAAAAAAATGGGGGGAGGGAATGCATAAAAAAGAAATGTAATGCAGTTCTGACGACAACAATACAATAATATCTGAAAGTTTTATTCAAAAAATATGATTTGCAGCTAAACATAAATGCATTGATTTCCCTGAGATGATTATTCTCAGGCTGATTCTCAACTAAACTACATAGTTACATGTTTTTAAAATCATATGTATATTAAGTTATTTCATTGGTAAATAGAGAATAATCTGCAACACAGAATCAAGTATAACAATATGAGGCGAGAGTTACAGAAATGTCACGGAACTTCCTTAAATCACCACCTCATGTGGATCCTCCCCAAAAACTACACTTCAAAACATTGTGAGCTCACCACAACTTTATAAATCCACTCTCACTTCCTCTCAGTCGGGTTTCACTTGCACACAGCTGCTTCTGACCAGATGCAGCAAAAGTTGGTTAGTGTGTGTTTCTGTAGTTGGCAGACTTCAGACTAAATATCCCTGTCGCAGGTCATCTGGGGTCACAGCAGCCCTCCTGACGCTCTCGCTGGGCCTCGGCCCGCCGCCGCGTTTGGAGACGGAGTGGACTGTCCTCCAGTCCCGTGAGGACAAAGTTCTGGACGGCTGAACTTCAGTGGAAGAAGAGGAGGCAGCATCAGTAGCGGGCGGTGTAGTGGTAGCTTCACGTGTTCCACCGGGGTCCATGGCTGCGTTAATAACTGAAATAAGAAAAAAGAGAAAACTAAAATTTTAATTTTTGTACTAAAAATTCATAAGATTTAAGAAGAGAGATTTAGACACTCACCCTCAAGTTGGACCTGAACCCTCCTAAGTTCTTTCAAAATAGACACCATTTCCTGAAAAGCAGACATCTGACTAAGCTCAAGCGAACACTTTGAACCAACAAAAATGAGCAAGACTGGAAATGGAAAATAATAATAATAATAATAATAATAATAATAATAGTGGCTGCACAGTGGTGCAGTTGGTAGAGCTGTTGCCTTGCAGCAAGAAGGTTCTGGGTTCGATTCCCAGTCCCGGTCTTTCTGCCCCTAGGTTATGTGTGCATGGTTGTTTGTCTCTGTGTTGCCCTGTGACAGACTGGCGACCTGTCCAGGGTGACTCTGCCTCTCGCCCGGAACGATAGCTGGAGATAGGCACCAGCAACCCTCCCTCCCGACTGAGGGACAAGGGTGTAAAGAAATGGATGGATGGATGGAATAATAATACTAACCTTGTTGGAAATTCTGCCAACAGTAATGTCAGTGTCAGAGTTAATTCGAGCCTCAATGTCCTCAGAGATTTCCAATCTGTCCTGGAACAGAACCCTAAATATGACGATAAAGAGCAACGGTCAAAAAGCTGCTGTTAAGGGTTATTCTGTATTTATGTGACCAAAACAGTATTGGCAAAATCTGGATTGTGTTACAGGCTCAGAAATAAACCATAGTGTTACATTTAAATTATGACATGTTATGGAAAATGTTCACTGCCAGCCTCTGCTCCAAACTCGACACCTTCAATTTTGGAAGAGATCTGCTGCTATATCTCCAGATAAAAATCTAATGGTTAGACAAAACAAATGTGGAGCCATTTGGCCAAAAATAGTACTTGAGGGCACCATGAAGAAGTTTTCAAGCCTAAGATAATTGTGTCAATTGGCATAGAACTGTGGTGGTAGCATCATGCTAATGTTTCACTGTTAGTGGTGCTGGTGTGTTGCAAAAAAATAAGGGAAAAAAATAATGAAGACAGAACTCCTTTAAATTCTCATACTTCACCACAGAGCAACAACCAGGAGTTCCCAAATTACAATAACCCCAACCACATCAAACATGGTTTTAGAAAGGATGAAAGTGGCTACCATTAAGATTGTGGATAGGCTATGACTTCAACACAATTAAAAGATCCATGGTCTATGTTTAAAAGCAGGATTAGTCCCAGAAATTTGCTGATGGCTGAAAAACATGCAGCTATGAGAGAAATAGAATAGCAGGTATAAGCAGGTATTTAACTGTGCATCATATTATTAAATGATAGTTGTATATTGTTCTACCATGCAAAAAAGAATCACACACCCCTGAGGTTAGGTTATAAAATTAAAAGGGCATTCATGCCCAATAAGTGTAAGCAGAGTTTTCAAATTTGCTATGTAACAAGAAGACGGTTTCATTCATTTCCCTCTTATCCAAATGCCATGTAAGCCAAGTAGCTCATTTTAATTACGCAAGATTCAATATTCAATGCAAACACTAAGTTGAAGTCAGTTTAAGCATGCAGGGAGTCTTTTCTTCAGATCTTACTTGATCTTCTCAGCGAGTTGCTCTGTGTTTTCTCTAATGGCTGCTGTGACTTGATACACAGGATTCAACGTCAAGCTGTCCACATTGACCTACAGAAAAGGAAAATGCAGTCATTGCAGAGCAAAAGGTTTAAAAACCCAAGATGAAAGGCAGCTCATCATTATGTCAAACCTCTTTTCTGTTTTGAGCAGATTGTCTGGAGCTCTGTTCAAGGTCGCCTGATCCCCGGTCAGAGTCTTTGTTTGGTGCAGAACTTTGTTGGTGGCTTACCTCAGGCTCTGAGACATAAGGAACCTTGGAGAGCAATAAGAGTTTGACATCAAGTCTCACTGGTAAGACAAATCAATAGATTAAACTCGAGGCTCATTCAGTTCAGAGTTATCCAGCTACGCCAGGTGTTATGGATGTACTAATCAAGCTACTTTTCCAACTTTTCTCTGTCTATAAATTAATCACTAAATGGCATGTTCGTTGATGCTGAAAACAACCTTAAAAATGTTACATGGATTCTGATCATTAAAAAAAATGGAATAAGAAAACTAGATATTGGTATCAGCTGCTCAACCCGATCGTTGTATCACTGAGATTTTAGTAGACCATATTCATTTATTTTCTCCCCCTTGAAGTAGTCAAGACAGAAATAATGTAAAAAAAAATATATATATATAAACAAATAAAAAGAGGTAAAAAGAAAATCTCCACACTTAAGTTGAATTTATAGACATGTAAAGTTATTCAAATTAGGGAAAGATTTCAAAGAGTTATGAAAGCAATAATGTTTGTATCTTCACATTTGTAAACTACAGATTAAATCATAACATATATAAAAACATTTTTCACTGCATCATTGAAAACTGAACAACTAGTGCTGTTTATAATGCAAAAAAGTTGAAAGTCAGTGTGCTGCACATGTGATGTACCCGTTTATTGCTCTCCGCTTCAGGTGTTTGTGCTTCACCTTCTCCTGCTACATCATGGATCTCTCTGGCTAAAATAGCCAAGTCTTTGGCCAAGTCTTGACTCAACCTTACATTTAGAAAGACAGAAGCAGAAAAAACATTAAAGCAGTCATGTCATGAAATAAGTGGGGAGAAGTTCGTATTGTTTTTGAAGTCAAGTTGACCTCACAGTCACTGGAAAAGATAAGATGTCTGAGATGAAGCTGTTATCTGCACAGCAGCCAAAGCAATTATACTGTTTTTTTATGTTCTCAGCTCATTTTGTGAAAGTGTAGGACGATCTGTTGTTGTACAGCTCAATTTACATCTCTTTGGCTCCATAATAAAAGTATGTAGATATTTATTTTACCGTAAAGGTAAACTGCAACTTGCTCTGTTGCAAAGGCCAAATGGTTCATGTAGATGTGGATGTTTTACATCAAACCAGAGTATAGTTCAATGTCCAGTTAAATTTGTAATATTGGTCAGCTACAGATTTACAAAATATGCCTACAATGTAATTACATTTTGAAAAAAATAAAATATCGGTCAATGTGTGAATCTCTGCATTTTTCTCCAGCTTTATCAAGCATAAGTGTAATTTTAAAGAATTTAAAGAACATTTCTGTTTGGTTTAAAGATGCAAGTTTTGGGTTTGCTATATTTCCTACCGAGCAATCTCAGCACTGTGATTGGTCCAGTTATGGAAAGCTTCTCCTTCATGGCTCTCATCCTCGGAGTTTCTGCTGCGGGGTTTCGGATGCTGGGCGATCACTGGCTGGGGTCGAGACTGACTGCGTGGACCATGAGAAGCTGAGGAAGGTTGGGAGCGTTTGTGTTTAAGATTGCTCCAGTTTGATTCATACTCTTCATCTGAGGTAGAGGTATAGTCAGAGCCCTTGTGTCGCCTCCTAGAGCCTTGCCGTTGTGAGTTGGTTAGAGTTATCCAAAACCAGGACAAAGAAGTGGGGAAAAGGAGAGAAACGAGAGTGCAATGAAGGAACACCTTTGAAAAACACACCACCATGTACTTCAGAGAGGAGTCACCAAAATATTTCCCAGAGCAAGAGGCAGAAAAGATGCTGCAGAAGTCCTAATCTCCACATCTACTACTTTAGTGACTTTCTAAGGTGCCCAAATTGTGTATAACCAAAGACTTCCACAGTTTCTGAAAACCCATTAGTAAAAACTCTTACATATCCCAAGAAACCTTTAATTTAATATAGTTCAGAACAAGAATGGCAACATGGCTGAAATGCTTGAACAACTGTATGCAATAGTTTTAAGTAACACTATATAATAACCCAGAGCAGATAAGAAATAAATGTTCCATGAATACTTTGCAGTTAGTGTTTTAGATGTTAGTAAAATGCCCAAAACAGTTCCCATCATAAATGCCTTTCCACTAACATAAATCACAAATGAATATATAGAGTACTGCACATTTTTCATGTAATATTTTTCATCCAAATGTGGATCAGTTAGTAATACTTAGCTCAGGTTATATAAATACAACATTTAATTTACATATGAATATAGGGAATAATGTCTGTAATACAAATAATTTTATATTCTCCATTATCTTTTTTCCATCCTTTTCCAGACATTGGAATTAGCCAAATCAATTCCATGTTTTCCCAAAACCATGATGGAACCTGATTAATGTGTCAAAGATGTCACCCTAACTGAGACTTTACTCTGCTTTGAGTCGAGACAAAATTCTCCCATTTAACTTCATCTCTTAATTCAGTCAAACAGGACCATATATGACTGTGGTCTACTTACTTGCTGTGCTGCTGGTATATTTGGCAGAGCTCGAGCGTGTGCGAGTAACCGGGGTTTTGTTGAGCGCTGGCTTCTGTGGCCTTTCTGTAGGTTTTGGTCCAGCAGAAGAGATCCGTTGACTGGAGCTGCTGCTCTGATCTGTGCTGCGGGTGGAAAAGTTCGTGCTCCTGCTTGTCCACTGGGGGGCGGAAGAAGCTTCTGAGTCACTGGGTGCATTGAATGAACCCGCACGCCTACGAGGCATGGCCAGCATATCCAGTCTAGAGAGTTTCTTGGCTTCCTGATGTTGCTTTGTGGAGGACTCTTGCGCTACTCTCTCAGTTTCTGTACCTTCATTGTCAGAGGACTCTCCCAGGCGAGCTCGTCGGAGCATGGAGGCCCTGGTGGGTCTTGGGGCCGACAAGCTGTTGGCACGGCTTAACACCTGAGACACTTTGGAGGACTTGCCGTCCTCCTTCTGAAGAGGCACCGTGTATTTGTAGTGGGTTTGGTTGTTGCTGCTTTCCTGATCGGAGTAAGGTAAGCTGGGAGGATCATCACTCAGGTCTGTGGAGCCGTGTTTGCCCACACTACGTCTCAGTCCAACATGCCTCCTGATGTGTTCCGGCTTGTTTTCACCATTTGAACCATAAGAGCGTTGCTTTTCAGTTTGATTATTCGTCTCTTGATTAGGATTAATCAAGAGATTAATCTTGATTAATCTATGAAGGTTACCAGCTGATGCTTTTTTAATAAATGTGTGTGTTTTGATTTTATTGCTGTGCTGGCTGACAGTGCTGGAAGTATCCACATCAGAGTCTCCTGACAGAGAGTCCATTATGGGGGACGGAGTAGTCACTGGTGGTCCTGTTTGGAGTTTGGCCTCCAGAACAGCCAGAACATCCTCCGTCTGTTTGAGGTAAGCATGAGTGTCCTGACTGCCGCTCCCCTGGAATACCTCGGCACCTGGCTCTGTCTGAACTGGCAGACTAGAAATGTTTGGCAGTCTGGGATTACTGGGCCTCTCTTTGGTGAAGCTTTCCTGTCTGATCAACGACGGAGCTGCAGCTTCTTTACCTTCTGGACTCTCTGTCCTCTGGTCCAATGTGGGAGCAGAAGCAATGTGCTTCATGCCAGAGTTCTGAATGCCTTTCTGCTTAGTTAGAGTGGCTGATGAGATGATTCTAGAAACAGACTTCCTCTCAGCCTTAGGAGTGCTGATTTTAAAGCCTCCCTGCTGCGATCTGGACTCCTCCTCTGACCCGATATAAAAAGATGTGGACTTAAAAGGAACCCTAAGTTTGTCTTCATTCTGCTTGTCTTCTGCATCAAACAGCTGCCTCCTACTCTGCTCTACAATGGATCCATCATCTGATTTGCTGGCGTCACTCAGGCTGTCAGGCTCCACGTCATCCTGTACACTTAACCTATGAACATTGTCGTCAGGCGTTGGGGTTGTTGAGGTAGTTTCCTCTAAATCGAACGTTGTGCTGGGGTTGTAATGAACATGGATGCTGGGAGTCGGAATGTCACTCTCGTCTCCGTGTGGTACAGGCGGAAGGATGCGTCTAGACTTTGGACCATCGGCACCCGAATGGTCCTGATGTTGACTGACTGTGTTCTTGTGAATGACTGTACCCCGTGCTGTAGCGAACACAAATATTAAATATCGTTCATATTCATCAGTGTGCCTCATTATAATTTCAAATACTCATTTCTCTTCAGGTGGCTTACCCCCTCCTGGTGACTCCATCTGGGTCAACATGTCAAAGAGGCCAGACGAAGGTCCAGATTCTGTGAAGCTGTCTGCTAAGCTGGCCCAACGAGACATCCACTTAGGAGCCCCTTGTACCATGGCACCTGCTGGCTGAACCTGTGTAAAAACACACAACTTATTCAACGTGTTTAAATATTCCAATATTTGCAGTTACAATAAAACACACTAGGAGAATTAATGTGTTAGATATGTATCACAACAGCTACAAAATAAGTTAAAATTTGGTTAAAAAGAGAAAAACCAAAACAGAAAAGTACCTAGAGCCTCAAGCAGACAATAAAAGGAATCAGAATAGAAACACCTATAATAGAGTATAGATCAAGAAGCCAAATCAAGACCTCATTGTTAATTAATTTCTCGGACATAGAGATGCACTGAGAAATCAGCTGGTGACTGAAATTAAACTGTTTTACACTTTCTCTTATGGACCTAAAATCTGACCTATTTAAAATCAATAAAAGAGCAATATCTAACAGCTTGGAGGTTGTCCCGACAACATTATTCATTACATCAGCTGTGAGAGAGCTGAAAATGTAATATTTAGCCATTTTCAGTACCGGAAAGGTGCACTTTTGGAAAAGTTCAGAAAATAACAAGCTGACATTTTTTAAAGCAAAAATTTTGTTTTATCATTTTAAGTACCGGCAATTCAAATGTATTTGACACAAAACTAAAGAGTAAGGACCTAATATCAAGTGAGATGATACATTAGTAGTGTATGTGATAGGACCTACAATGCGTCTTGTAAATGAGTAAATGCTGTAACTCTTTTCAGACGGGTTGTTTAAAAAGGTACATTTGTTTCATAACCTGGAGGATTTTACTGTATTTGTAGATATATTTGTAGTAATGCGCAGAGACATCATATCCAAGTAACTTTGGGTTATTTTTGAGAAATTTGGTTTCTTTTAATTATGGGCATTTTACTGCAAAGACAGTTAAAGTTTTTATCAGGCCAAGTTCACTTTAACTTTTTGTAGTTCCCTAACACAAATCAGCATATCAGAGTTTTATAAAATCTATTGTCTGAAATCGGTCAAAAAATCTCTAACCAGTGCATCTCTATTCAAAATATTGATTAGATTTAATGAATCAAGAATTTGTCAGTCCCAGTCCCAGCCGAAGCAGATGAAGTTACCTTTACCAGACTATGTCCCTGCTCTGGAGTTGGAATACCCTCACCACAGCTACTCTGCCTATACTCCTCCCTGCCCTGATCAGTAACAGGCCTAAATGCAGAGGATGCTTCTGCTTCAGCCTGGCTCATTTGCTCTGGGCTCTCAACAACACCAAACACCTGTCAGGAACAAAGCATTGCACAGATGAAGATGAAGCTGCAAACATTTCAAGCTCACATAAGATGATTGCTGGCGAACAATTCAGGATACTTCTCTTCAGAAACTATCCTGAAGAGAGGATACTTCAGTTCAAGCGACATTCGGTGAACTTTAGCCATGAAGAACTTTTCTGTGCCATGGAAAATAAGTACGACGGAGAAACTTGCCTGGTCAATCTTGCTGCGTGCCTCTTCCAGCTCCTTATCTTGAACATCTGCTTCAATAGTGTAAGTTCCCGCATCACTCAGACTGTCGTCCTCCTCATTTCTGGGGCTTCTGACTTCCACATTTTGAGCAGGTGTGACAGAGGTTCTTAGGGGAGCAGGTGTGTGAATAGGGGAGGACGTCTGTGGGTGGAGATGTCCATCAGATGGAGGGGGGCTCGCCTGGCTCTGTTTAGACTGTGAAACAACTCCTTGCGCTGCTTTAGGAGAAGATTTTTCTTTCTGCTTGAGTAATTCAGCATTAAACTCCTTCGCAAGCTTGGACCTCCGACCGACGCTGCTAAAGGGTCTTACAGAAACAGAAGAAGAAGAGCGAGAGGAAAAGCTGGTGCTGATCCTTTCATCTGTCTTTTCCCGTCGTAGAGAACCAGCTCTTTGAAACCCTGAAGAATCAGACCCTTTCAGTGGAATAGTGAAACGCTGGGTTGGTGGAGTGGTGAAGGACGAAGATGAGACATTTCTCTCTGTATTTGGGCTTGAGCTCTTTTGCTCCTGCTGGATCCGGGGATTTGAGGGCTCAGGTGGGCCGGCGGTATGTGTGAAAGACTGAGAGCGCTTCTTTCTCGAGTTATCGTCAAAGAACTCGATGACAAAGGCTTGTTTTGCTTCTGCTTTGCCATGGAGGGAAAGAGACTGGGATTCTGGTGGAGAGGAAGACAGAGGTTCCTCTGACCCTGGAGAAGTCATTGAGGTTTTAGGTGAACTGTGCAACACATATTGGGTTTTGGATTGTAGGGACTCATTTGCGTTGACTGGCTCAGATTCAGCAGGAGAGCCGTTCTCGTAGCAGTTCACTGAGGACAGATAGAAATGCTTAAGTAAGACAATTATCATTCAATATCAAATTTATCAGAAGTTTATAGAGGACTTACCATCCCTTATTTTCAGATCTGATGAGTGACTGTTTGTGCTGTACATATTTTCACCCTTTGACTTTCTCCTCATCATGCTTGCATTGCTTTGGACCAGCCAATCAGCTACTTTGCTCTCTGCTGACATCACCTCTGTAGGAGTGGGAGGGGTCTCGGGGGAAGTTTGCTTACGCTGCTGGCGAAGGGCAAACTTGGTCACATGGTCTTTGATCTTCAGTTTACCTGGACTGCATTCGTCAAACTCGATGGTGAAAGAGGCGTGGCTCTGGACCACCGGAGGCGTGGGTGTGGAGGGGACAAACTGTGTGGGATCTGAGGTATCCTTTGTCGGAACCTCGTGAACCTGTGTGTCTGGGCTTTTTGCAGATTTCTGCTGGAATTCCTTTGTTGGGATCTCAAAGTAGCTGGGCTCTCGACGGAAGGAGAACATGGCCTTGGCCTGAGTGTCTGACTGAGAACGGTTCACCTCATGTCTTGGGCCATCTTTAGCAGGCTCTGTTGCAATAAAGGGATAAAAAGACAAAGTGATAAATCTGTCTATGTTACTTGGACAAACTGAGAGGGAAATCTTAAAGAGAATAGAAATAAAAGTTAAATTTGACCCTTTTATTTGGAATGAGTGTGGATGTATTCCTAAAATAACAATTCAACCTAAACATATGTATAGCTGAAAAACATATCACAACATAAGCGTTTCATATCAGTCAATATCAATAATTATTGACTCGCTTTTTGTTTTAAATATCATAAGTACAGTCATACTGGTGGTGTGACTTTTTCTGTTTTATCCTCAGGTTTCACTCCATGCCGTTTTTTATTTTAAAGCAGTTGTGAGGCACAGTGGCAAAACCTGAAACTGCTGCTGCGTAAGTTACTCAACAGGTTATTGCAGTTGATGCCACCAACCTTACTTAGCTGACAGTCAGAGTTTGAATAGCTAGAGTCTTTCCTTTGCCTACATCTCCCAGAATGCCATACGATTCTGAATCGGAGTTCAGTGAAATTAATGAACATTCTATCAGACGTATTATCTTTTGATTAGATGATGTGTCTATCTCAATATGTGTTGTTATTAATTTATTGTCCAGTCCTACCGAAACCAAACATTTAAATTACCTTGTAACTGTTAGTTAATGTCATTGTAATCAATGAACCAAATACCAAATGATCCAGCTGTTAATATGAGAAAACAAAATCAATCAGCTGGTCTTAGTTCCTGGTTAGACATTGCCAAATATCACTTCAGGAGCTCAGAGTTCACAGCAGGTTAGCTGAGCGGTACTAATCCGTTTCACTCTGGGCAACACAAGGGGAACAATGACCCTTCCCCCCTTCACCAGCTTAAAGGGTCATAATCCATCACGAGGCGAGCAGGCAGTCAGTGCCCATCGCCATGGCGAACACCTCCTAACTGTCAGCCAGCAACATGCCCGAGGCTTAAAACCATCCACCTCTCAATGACAAGCACGGAGCATCACATGGCACCAACTCATAGCTGTGATGAGTTGTATATACAGTATATACAGTGGATATTAAACTTAGAAAAAACAGAGTTAACTAAACTGTTAAAATATGAGGTTATTGAGATGTAAAACAACAGCAGCACAATTCTTTTAAAACTATCATCACAAATTTATCTTTTACAGTTCAACTGTCTATAATCTTATCTTTTTTTTTTCATTTTAGTTTTCTTGTGAGAATTAACTTTATTAAATCACATCTCGCCATAGTCTGATAAATATCTGCTCAATGCATCCAGAAGAAGTCATCACTATGACCAAACAATGAATGAATGGACATTAAAGCACACCCTGAAAAGTTACTTTTTGGAAGTAAAAGATTTTTGTTCAACGCAATGTTAAAAATAAAACAGCTGCCATCGCCTACAAAGTTCAACTGCCCTAGTTAGATTTCACCAAATAGGAGAAATAAATATTAAATATATAAACCGTTGGACAGAATCATATGTAAACAGTCATTCATAATTGCTGAAACAATGGATGTTTCTCCCAAAAATTGGTAAAAAAATAAAAATAAAAATCCAGGAATAAACTGGTTGAGGAGGCTACAGAGAGAACAACTGCAGCACCTAAACAACTGCTGAGACTGGTCATGTTCTAAATGTGAAATCAGTCTCTAATATTCTTAATAGGTCTGAACTAAGAAGCATGGTAAAACAGAAGCCATTAATGTACCATAAAAACATCCATATCTGGCTAAAATGTATCAAAACCTTGTAGAAGACACCACTATAATCCGATGAAACCACAATTCCAAGTATAAACCACTTTATTTTTGACCCCAAACCTTCAGATATCTACTAGAAATATGAGATTTATGTCCACTGTACAAACATAAAATGCATTTTCTGACCTGAAGCCTCATCTTCTGGCATTTTTCCTCCTCTGTTCTGCTTTGTGTTGGCTTGTTCCTCATCTTCCCCCCACCAGGAAGGTTGGCCATATAGAGGAGTGGGCTTAGATATTGGAGAATCTGTAAGAGCTGGAAGAAAAATCATGTATACTCAGATTCAGTACATATGCCCGAGTATGTACTCAGGCATATATACTAACACAGGAGAACAACAGATATTTGTTCATTTTTTTATTATTATTATTATAATGAGAGAAACTAAAATCTGTATTGAGAAACTGTTTAGCTGCACTATAAGAATTGCAGCACTACACTTCTTGCAGCACTTAGTTTTGTCGCACATTCCCATGATTTAAAGGGGTTAAACTGCTGTACCAGCAGTATCATGCAGACCACCTAATCTAATCCATCTCATGAGATGACAGCATAGTTAATCCTAATCTTCCATGAAAAGAAAAGAAAAAAATTACAGAACATAAAAACATAATAAATCAAGGCGTCTTGTAGATACAGACACTCTAATCCATGCAGTTTAAACTCTTATTATTGCAGCACAAAGAAGAGTTTTCCTGCTTTGGTGTTGCCATGTAACCTGGCAAACTTCCACTCACATTCCAGCATGCCCATAATGGATTAATCAGATAATCCAAGAGCTGCTTTTATGGTGTGATAGATAGGACCAAACAGCCTGTTTAGAGGTTTAATATGGCTCCACAAACACAGGCATTAGAAACACTTTTCCACTGTTGCCTTGGATACATGCAATAAGATGTAAACACGGTGACAAGGGAAGAACAGGGGCATGTTACCAATTCCTTTCCTCTTACTCAGTCCTCTCGTTTTAGCTCAAGAAAACATGCACGAGCACAGCAAAGTGCCCTCTGCTGAGTTATGATGAGATTATTAAAGAAAATAATTTATGAAAGAAGAAAATAAACTTATAAAGCACATCTTTACACATAAACATGAGACGCTTTTTAAGTCGAAACTCCATACTTTTAAAGACTCAAGTTTCCAGAGTTCTCAGTCCTTTTCAAACCTCTTTTTAAAATGTATTAATCCAAAACATTCCTATGTATTCTTTGTAAAACCATTTCTACTTTCAATAAGGAAGGTACAAAAATCAGAGCTAAGAAAGGTACGAAGGAAAAACAAATGTACTTAAAAGGTTAGACGGATCAACAGATAGACAAGTGATCGAATAGATGGCTGGACTGATTAATGACTGAATAAAAAATTGATGGACAGAAGTATAGATGGACAAAGGGTTGATTGGACAGATGGATACAGCAAACAAACAGACAAAATGGATGGATGGAAAAAGGGAGGGATGGGCAGAAGGGCAGATGGACAAAAATATGGACGGATGGATAGATTGAATAAGGGAGGCATGGACAGATGGACAAACAAATGGCCAGACAAATAAATGGATGGATGTGCAGAAAGATGGACAGAAAGATGAATGGATTGTCAGAAGGATGCTTGCATACTTTAAGATAGAATAAAGTCTGAAAAGAAATTCTTAATACTCTATGTTCTCTGTGCTTTCTAGACCTGAAAAAAAAAACTCAACAACATACAAATGACATAATTTTTCAAAGAGCAAGCTCAGTTACTCCTAAATAGATGGTTTTCTATAATTAAAGTTTATTGCATCAGAGTACACTCAGGATATCTCATGCTCTTTCTCTTAAACACTAAACTGCCCCAAACCATTTTGGGGTAAAGTAGGCCTGACTGAACCACAAGCACTGTACAGCTGGAACGTCCTGCCCTGCAGCAGCTGGAGGTTTGGATCCCCTCCACATCCTGCAAGGAAAAAAGGAGTACCAACACGCTGAAGAAAAAATACAATAGCTCTTTCAGTAGTGGAGAAAGCCAGATTAACACATTCAATCCACAGTAGGAAAAAAAAAATGTAGGGTAACTTCATCTGAAGAGAATGAGTTTGCATAAAAGTCAACAGTGATATGAAAAGCAGGTTTCATGCTAAAGAGGCCTTTCTACACATGCACCCACACAAACACACTGCCTATCAACAAAGGTAGGAGCTAAGTTGCTACTGCAACTTTAGCTTTAGCTTCTCAGGCAAGCTTTGAAACGGCATCCTTATCTTATTGTGTCAGTACACACAGAAAGACAGGCGAAGGTTAGTTTGGTTATCTGTCTTTTGAGAGCTGGCTCACAACAGCAAAATAAATAGCTGACTGCAATCTGTAACTGTATGAACCAACAAACTTAAAGGTGAAAAAGTTCAGAGTTTGAAATGATTTGTTTCTAGAAGAGCCTGAGGCTCCAGTAGAAAAAAAAAATCTATTTTAAGCATAAGTGGAAGTTTTTCCCACCACATTCAAAGGGCGTAAAGCTAAATAAACCACAACTGCAATAGTTGAGTCAGTGTGAATGAAACTCATTCACAAAGTGCTTCCACTGAGCAGACAGTGGTCTCACTTTCCTTGATGTCAACACTGTAAAACAGGATTAAACGAGTAAATCTAAGAGCAGAACGCGAGAGAGTTCAAATATAGGCTTTCACCTCCAGATCTTCCACAACAACAAGAACCAGTCATCTCTGCTGGCACCCCAACTCTAGTTAGCAGCCAGGCATGCCTGAGAGAGATAAGGACGCTTGTCCTCAACTCCAAACTCACTCATCCTGCCAGGCCGGGGATGTCAAGATCGATTCCTTTGCAGACACCACAGGATTGTTGCTTCAGCCTCTCTCTTAACATGCCGTCCTAATCTCACGCCAGGGAAGCTCTTAATAAAAAAAGCCTCCACTGCTCCATCAGGGGATCTCTAACCAAAGCTGACCGGCACATGGAGGCTCACTAAGACTTCCTCTTTCCTTGTGTGAGAACAGGACATTCAAATCTATTTAAGGTAGAACTGTTCTACTCAATAGTTTAAGCAAAAAGCTTTCTCACAAGCATATATCTGCTGTTATGGTTTACCTGTGAGTGACTGGGCCTTACGCTCAGACTTGTCCTGCAGTTTGACATTAGAAACAGTATCTTTGTTCTTCTCCGAGCTCTCAAGTTGCTGTTTTTCCTTCGACTTGGCTTCCAGAGATTTTATGCCGAGCTGCAGCTGGCTGGTGTACTTCTCGTGCTGCAAAAACAGACAACAGGCAGGCAGGATATGAGAAACCTCTGGCTAACAATCAGCACAGATGTGAACTGCTCTTATACATAAGGAAGGATATCCAACAGGAACTAGCTTAATTTAAACACTTAGAACTAAGTGAATACATTGAGCATTTCCAACAGACCACTCAAAGACAGAGAAGAGACAGGATGTCAGTATTTCTTACTTTCAGAGCTTCCTCTGGGACCTTGTGTTGACTCTTCTCCAAGATATACACATGGACATGTGCAGAGCAAGTTAAAGTACTATTTTTTTTTTTTATCAGTGCAACAGTTTATAATCTAGAGAAGCAGATACAACCAACAAACTCCAAACTTGTTGCCTAAATTTAGCCTGATATGCCAAGAGTAGAAGATTCTGCACAATTGCAGCCAGCCAGAGATTTGTAGAAAAACAGTTGGAACTTTTGCTAAATTAAAAAGAAAATATGAACATATTAATCACAATGGATTGCTACAGATTAGATCATTAATAGGATGAAGACGCCTTGACTGAATTAAAGTATCTGTCTGGAATAGATCATTGTAATTTGCTCACTGACAACACATACTGTGTTCTGAACTGCATTGATAAGCATATTTAAATCCATCTTCTTTTTTCATTATCTTAACTAAATTTACCCACTCATGAGTTTCCCCGAGTGTCAAAGGGCGCTTCAACTTTTGGCCATAATCAAAAAGTTTTGAACGTACTGCATTAATCCACCCAGAGAATTAATGCATAGGAAGAAGGAAAAAAATATTAAACATATTTTCTCATTGTAACTACAGAGGAAAGCCTATGAGGCAGGATTAACCCAACAGCAGCAGAATGTGAGCCACCTGTGAATGAAATGAATGGAAAAAGGATATCATAACCGAAGCGAATAACGTCGGACAGCTTCAGGGTGATGTAAGTCTGGTCCGGGATCCTCAAGTCATTCACAAACGTCTGCAAGACAAAAATCAATCCATTTTATAGTGACTCGCAAAAATATTTACAAACTTTTCTTCTCTTAAAGTCTCTTAAAAATTTAAGAGAATTTTATTGGAAGAAAAACTCATTTCAAAACTTTTACACAAATGCAAATCTGATAAGTGTTTAGTGTATGTATTCAGCCCCCTTTACTCAGATACCCAGAATATAAAATCTAATGCAAACAAGTTCCATAAGAAAATCATCCAAACTTGTGTGGGCTACAAGCAGAAACACTGAGTGTGGAAGAAAACTAACGCATCATTAACGCATTATGTTTTATCCTCACAATGAAACATAGTGGAAGCATCATGCTGAGGCGATGATAGGAAGAAATAGGGTGGAATGAAAAATTGTTCATTAGATGCTTTTGATAAAAAAATGTTTAGCCTTTTTGTCAGTTTATGTTGTCTTGGATTTACGTTGATTTAGTAAAATTATTTAAAGGTTTATTGTTGGTATTAACCAGAAAACAGCCACTGGATACTGTTTACAAGCTTCGTTGCAACACACACACAGACTGCATAACACCTGCGTGTGTTCTCATGTTGCTACAGTATCGTAGGTCCAGCCCTAACCTGAATAGAGCAAGTCCATGCACATTTTCTGCTGTATAAATGCAGCTATGTTGTGACAACACTTAAAAAACTAATTCAGGCTCAGATTCATTTACTTTTTCACCCCATGGCTGTCTGACTGGGTATTTCCAAATCAGACTGTGGTGCATGGCATGAGCTAGACTGAACCAATTCAGATGGCAAAGGAGGGTGGGACTAAAACTAAGCAAACTTTAGCTCACTTGCTTTGATGTAGTAGCTTAAAAAGTCAGATAATCATTCACATACTTAATATTGTCCATCAAAGGGTGGTGATCAGAATAAAAAAATGACTCCCCATTTTTAAGACTGGTGAAGCAGTTGCTCCACTTCCTCAATGAGGTGTCCTTTATACGCTACAGTATAAAGGACTGACACAAAGGCAACACACCTATAATTTTTATTTGGAAAACATATTAAAAACCAAACAACTTTGTGTTGGTCAGCTGGATAAAATCCAAATAGAAAAAGTAGCAAGTGGTTGTGAAAAAGTTAAAAACTTATGGGAAAAAAAAAAAAAAAA